GTTCTGATCTCCTCTGATATTGCAACTCTTATTTTGCATTAGTTTCTGCATCCATACAAAATTCAAGGAGGAGGGAAAAAATCCATCACTGGTAAAAGAGAGTTCTAGGTTTTACTAGTACAAACTTACTGATTTTTTACTTTTTAATAAATAACTTTTTAAAAAAATAGCTGTCTGGCTTGAAAGCCTTTTGGGGAAGGTTGAAGTGAACCCCCTCTTTAAATGCATATAAAAAAATCTATGTTCTTCCTAACTCACAGTCCAAGCCTTCCGTCGGAGTCACATCTTCTGAAACTGGTAATATTTAGCACTGTGGAGCTGCATCGCATAGCTGGCTGGGACTGCTTCAGTTGCCAAGGCTTGTGAGCTGGACAGGATAAAAGATCTCTGCTAGAGTATTGGCAAGAATGACTGCAGAAAAGGCTCCTGGAAGACTGGATGACAAAAAGAGGCTGGTGTTTAGGCTGAGGCAAGTGAAAAGCACCCATGTCGTTGTCTCCCGCTTGTCGTCTTGTGCACAGCCTCACAGCTGCAAAGAGGAAGAGGTTGGCAAGGGGTTTGAACAACTGCAGAGAGCTGCCCCAGGATGTATCGTAGCAGGTCAAGGGCTGCTGCAGGGTTGCAGCATGGACAAGGAGCGAGGCTGCTGCTGCATTTGCTGTGCTCGTGTCAGTGCCCAAATTCTGCAGTGGCAAACCATCCCTCAGGTGTTAATCCAGTGCACCCCTCAGGCTCTGAAAGCAAGCATGGGCGTTTAGCTAATTTTTTTTTTTCCTTTTCCGCTCTGTTTTAAGAGGGAAATGAACCTCTTGTATGCAACTAAAAAAAATAGCAAGTCCATTGCTGTGAAGTTAAAATTCATTACAACCTAAAAAAACAGGGCAGTACAGACAAATGTGTGCTTTCTGTTGAACGTCAAGCGTAATGAAGCAGAATGGAAGAGGATGTGAGCTTCTTCGCATTGTTAAGAGCCTAAGAAGCTGAGGAGGGTAAGAAGATCCCCCAGGTCATGATTTCTCTTCCTCAGCACAGAGGGGCAAGGAAGGCTGAGTCTCTGCTGGACAGCTTTTAAGGGCCTATCTCAGAAAGAGGTTCAGATACAGACTCAGTCTGTACAGTACCTCAGTCCTACCCCAGAGGGCTGTTGTGCAGTCTATAATATCCAAACCAAATATCCAAGCCTAGTCTTCACTTCTACCTTTCACCAATGTTTCAAGAGCCTCCTCTTCTAACTTTTCTGTTCCTCTTTTGGGGGGAATGCAGAAATACTTTTGACATGATGTCTTCTATACCTCTATACCTTAGCTAGCAAAAATGACTGTTTCTTTACTAGATTTGGAGTTTCAGCACTTTCTTCATTTATTATTTACTTATTTGTAAGATGGCAAGACTCAAAGGGTCACCCTCAAGAGCACTGAGAGATGCCTGTGCTGGTATAAGTAGAAAATGCTGTTACTGAAGTCAGGGGCTGGAATGCAATGAACATACCAATTGCATGCCACCACTTTCAGATCCCACAGACAGAAATGTCCACATACTCCCCAGAGTGATCTCCTTCCTCCAAAATTCTATTAGATAGTGAAGGAAGGCTGAAATAGTTGTGCTCCTGCAGTATCCAGAACAGATCTGTTTTCACCTTTCCTGCTTTTTGTCCTGCTCAACAGCAGCAGGGGAGCTCATAAGATGCAGCCTCCTGTAAACGTCCATGTACAGTACAGTTCCTCTTCCACCTCCCTCCCACTCTTTATATACTCAAGCCCAGCTGGAGCATCATCCCTTCACTCCTACTTTGACCCAGGTCCCATGGGCAGGCTTTGATGGCACCTCATTGTGGTGGTTCCCTTCACCATCATCACCTGCTACAAAACCTGGAGCCAGAGCAGGACTACAAGAGAGTGGATGGAAGACTAGCAGATGCACAACTCTTATCTCAGCATCTTCGTATCAACTTTGATGTGACTATGCTCATTCTACAAACCTAAATTTATTAACTTGGCTAGCTCCTTGGGCTGATTCCCAAAATGTTGTGTTAGGGACTTGCTGTTACATGCACAGAAAGAAGCAACTCCAATCATTTTGCAACCAATTTGAATGGCAGTGTTTAGCTCAAAATGTGTATTTCCAGACTGCAGCCTACTTCTGCCTTCTGAGAAACAGAATTACAGTAACACATAACACATCACAAAGTTGTGATAAGAAGCAATAGTCCATGCTCAGAGTAGTACTCCTAGTAGACGCAGAAATGCTCATCTCTGGGGAAGCTGTTGCATGTTGACTGCAAGTCAGATTCTTGCATCCTAACAGTCAGCGTGTTAGTCACCAGTTAGACTACAAAAGGCATGTGATCAAATCTGCCCTAGGTAACGACTTTGTGCAACCCTACCTGACATGAGAATGATCACAGAGTGAATAAGTGAGAGTCACTAAATAACTGCTAAGCTAAATAACTGCTGCTTTGCTGCAGCGTGAGCTCCAACCTCGCAGAAACTCGCCTCAACCCACAGTTAACATCTGTGTGCTCCCAAATTCCCACTGTCCACACAGTAGCTGTGTAAGTACATGAAGGCTGCAGAACAGGATGCCTTTAGTCATTGGAATGGTTAAGGCCAAAGAATGTCAGACACAGGCTGCTATCTACACTGCTCTAGTGACCTTGATGTTTTGCAGACAGATGGAGAGAAAGAATACCAATTAAAAGATATGTTCTGAGACAACAGGAATGAGGCTTGGTTCACCTCATCGAATGCTGTGCTTGTTCTCAGCTTTCTAAGTAAGGGTTTGAGCCAAAAAGGTATTTTCCTAATTCTGCCGGGTTGAGGCATTATGAAACCTGATCAAAGTTAAAAAGCTGTCTTCAGTATTTTAGAGATTAACAGAAAACTTCAGCCTGTAATCTCTGGGTTTGCAGCGCATACTCTAAACCTGCCAATGGGCATCAGGGTGCTTCTTCCATTTGCAGCAGATCACTGCTGCCTGCAGCAAGGTGCTTCACCAGCCTTTTGTAAGAGAAATAAAAGCAATCGTGAGGATACTACGCCTTTAGAACACTGCTAAGTAAAATCTTTTTTTATGATTACGGGTGGAACAAGAGATGAATGAGCTGAATTCACACTCACTGACAAAATTCACTTGCCAGAGAGCATTTAGAAGTTAGAAATACATAAAACAAATACCTTCAATTTCCAGAGAGTTGGGCAAAGTGGTAACCTATTAGGTAAGGTGGAGCCAGGGAGACCAGAAGTGACTGGAAAGGTATTTGGTGTGAACACAGACTTACAAACTCAGTAAAATGACAAGATAGCACCTGCCTTACCTACTCAAGCTCCTCTGCCTGAACTTAGGGTTGCCTTTGGCTTTTCATTTGCTCTCTAGAGGTGAGATCTTTTTTGCATCAATTCAATATTCACAAACAGAGTAACAGCAAAATCCTCGATGCTCCTTGTCCTCCCCCAGCATTTAGAGCTAGGTGAAGTTCGAGGAGGAAAGTTCTCCTCCGGTGCAATGCCAGCCTTCTGTGCAAATGCTAAACTTTGCTACCTCGGAGCCCAAAAATTTTCTGGTTTGCTCCTGGCTGTGAAGCTGTCAAGGTCTACTGCTGTTAGCACAAGATGTGCTTCAGCTCACCCTTTAGGACATTAATGCAGAACAGAATGGATAATTAATTTATGTTAAAAATACCAGGGCTGCATTGGCACATCCAGCCTTCTCTGAGGAAGAGAATGAAAGAAAGAACAACTGCTGTGTGACAGATGTTACTCATTATGCTTAAATGCACTTCTGGAAGGCACTCAGATATATGTGTCAAATGATTAGAGTAATGCAAGATGCTGCATAGAATAGGAGGAATTTCTTTATAGCTAAACCTACACAAAACGTTGGATCACCTTGCAATAAAAATGTTACGAAAGAAAATCCAATTAACTTTCAACAGATTAAGCTTCTGGGAGCTGGAAAAAAAAAAAAAAAAAAAAGAACAAAAAAACAACAGAGCTCTTCAAGCAGTTATTTTGCATTGCTAGATGGGAGCTGCTTGAAGCACAGCTTGGAAAGAAATGACACAACTACATTACGACAAACTAGTTGAACAGCTTTTTGAGTGGCCTGACACACAGCTTCTGCCTGGGATACCAGAGTAGGTGCTTAAAACCTTTTTGGAGAAAGTAGGAACAGCATGGGTAGAAAGCAAAAATGGCTGAGAGTGAACATCAACATTTAATGTCTTGCTAACTTCCAAACAGCCAGGGAATTCTGTCCTTCCAGTACAAGAAATTTCCATTTCCTACTCAAAGCAGCTGCAGTTGTTTGTCACTCTTGGTGACAAAGGTGATTTGCAACCAGATTTTGAAACACTTTGAAAGGCACAACCCCTCTAGTAACAGACATACTGATGCTAATTTTTTTTTTCAGGTCCCAATAAGGTACTAATGTTCAAGCTATTTAAAGCAGAATGAGTTTGTTGTGTATTGAGTATTTTACTGCTGGAAGGATCACATGAAAAAAAACAACAACTGAGTGTTAGCCTGTTTTGCCTTGTGACCCCAATTAGTATGAAAAAAATAGCAGCAATGCAGAAAGCTAGAAAGCCCACTGATATAAGGAGAGGTGGGAATAAGAGGACACAAGCACTAACAGTGATGGCAGGAAAGGCAGAAGTAACACAGGTGAATGTCATTTTAAAATAAAACCTAGTTAAAACTGGCAAAGTTCAAGTAAATGTTGGTGACTATTCAAATTACTGCACGATGAAAACAGTGTTTTACACCTGTATGCAACAACCCTTAAAGATATGGGAAAACACGGAAGAAACCTGTATTCCAAACTGCACTGGCACAGGCAGCCACTAGATTCATTCTTGTGCTTAAACAGGCATCTTGTTAGTCCTAGAAGAAACTCTTAGACCTTTAGCATCCCAGTTTAGTCAATATCATTTCTTTTGACAGTTAGATCACGAGCAGCTTTTGAGGCTTATCTGCAAGAATATGTATTTTCCTCTCCATCAGACACTCCTGGTTTACCCAAGCCTTTGGATACCTACAAAGAAAGCATACAGACAAGAACATATCCTGAGCTTGTGACTGCTGAAGCAATCCAAAGATAAATATTGTGAAGATGGTGGGTGTCAATGAAAATAACTTTCATATTCAGGTAAAGGCCTGTTTTGTGTTTTTTTTCCCGTACATCTTATTCAGAAATAATAGGAGCATGAATGTTGTTAGGCGGTGTGCTGTCAACCTACCATGTACAAAAAAGTTTTATATTGTTAGGCTTCATGGAAAATGTGTACTGTAGTATTTTAATAGCCCCGATTTTCTAAAACTATTAAGGAAGGGCAAAAACTACTGTTTGGACTCTATATAGCCTATGCAGAAAAAAACAGGGAGAAAAAGAAAGTCATCAGCAGGAAAAAAAAACAGCCTACAGGAAGAACAGGTTATGATTTCTACAATCGGCCTGTTTAATTAGTATCACAGTCAGTCTGCTGGCAGATATCAAGAGAGGTCCTGTTGAGGTCTGCCTGTCTTGGGAACTGCTCTTTTCGACATGTAAACTGATGATTTGAAGATGGATAATAATTATTTAACCTGCAGATGGCACATCCCTGGGAAGGACCGTAAGCACTGAGAACTGAGACTGATCTTGACAAGGTCAAGAAAGAATCTGAAAAGAAATAAGATGCAATTTCGTCAGGATAAATGCGAGCTTCTGTGTCAAAGCAGAAAAAAGCCTCTCTGCAAAGACTGAAAAATGATTGCCTTTGTCGTAGCTCAGCCACAGAGGAGCTGAGAGGACACAGTTTCAAGCAACGCTTGAATCAGCAAGCATGCTGTTGCAAAACCCAGCACATTGAGTGTATAAAATCTTAAATTGTTTGTGATGCTTTTGCTTGCGGCTGGTAAGATGGCAACACATGTATGTTTCCTCATTTTAGATTTTCTGTGTTCAAGAAAGAGATCAGAAGGAGCCTAAAGAAAGAATCAGCAAGAGCATGGTAAGGGCTGTGGAAGGCTTTACAAATGCCTAGAAGAGCAGACAACAGTCTTTAATTATGTAAAGAGCTGCAAGCAAGAAAGGAAACAAACTGTTTCCATAACTCCTCTTGAGAACATGGCCTGTAAGACTAAAAGAGACAGCATAAGAATGTAGCATGAGAAATGCAGGTTGGAGAGGAGGAAAGGTATCCAACAGTAAGCAGCGTGAACCAATGAAACAGCTAATCTAGGGAGGCTGTGAATATCCATCACTGGAGGTTTTAAGAAAGCAAATCTTTTCATATCGTTTAAATGGAAGAAACACAGATGCCTGTGTGCTGTGTGGACTCTGAAACATACTTGTAGACACCTTCGTAACAGCAGATTTAAGTTTACTGTCAGATACTTCCTTTGAGCCATTCTTCAACCTGAGTTCCGGCCAGGTTGAAGACCAATGTGTGGAAGGGGGCTGGTTTAGCTAATCTTTGCCTAGGGGGCCACTGTTGATGTTCTCTCAAGGTCCTTGCCAACTCCATCGCAATACAGCCTATTAAACATTTCCCTTGTTCTCCTCACCCTTAGGTTTATTGGTCCTTCCTCCATGACGGGACACTGAGATGGAGTTGTCACACAACTTGTGAGATGCCATTCAAGATCACAAAAACAAATCTATTTTACAACTCAGCATCTTTCACAAGAAGACATTACACCAGTAGAGTTTATACAAAACAGCAGAGAAAAAAAATATTGGAAAACTAAGTATCAGAAAGTGCCAGAATTAAGGACACAGTAACCTTAAATTCTGACCCTTGGATATGCAATTCTTTTACAACTGCATCTTCTTCTCTAGCATATGGATTTCTTTTTGATCCATTGTTCTGCAGTCGTCCAAGCCTTACCTATGTGTACTTTCCAAACACTGTAGATATACCTACCCACTATGTTGCATCCAAAAGATGTTAATGCTTTTATTTTAGAGACCATCAGTATTGATCACAAAAACTGCAATGCCAAATGAATCCAACTTTCTCACATTCCATTGAGGTAGGGATGTATCATTGGCTACAGCTCATGGTAGCACTGGGGAACATAGGCATAGGCAGAATAAAGCCAAAGTTACCAGCAGGCCCAGTTTTCAATGCTGACAGTTTATATGGAATACTTGCCATTATTACAGCACTTCACTTGTTCAAAGCATGGCTTTCAACAGTTGCTAACACCGGCTGCTTCTGCAAAGCAGGCCTCAGAGTACAAGCCCTGGGCTCCAGGCACAGAAATGTTATAGCACTGATGATCACCTGCAAAGAGCCACAAATCTTTTGCAAAGATGGCACAGAACATGTTTTTGGAAAGCTTTTCACAGTGAGGCCAACCTTTCTTTCCCCCAGATCCCTTCAGCCTATATTGCACTTTTCTTTCCCAGTGCACAGGAACAGCTGTCCAGCAGGGAAGTCACTCCCACTGGTTCCTGTAGTGTAAAAAGTATACACAGTGCTGCACAAAATGAGATGGCAGGGGTGAACTTTACAGGCAGCCAACACTTGTATGCTTCCCGAAGCTTCTGCGTGTGCCCCTGGACAAGCCTAGGCTACCTCCAGCTTGGCTGGACCTGAGCAAAGAGGAGGGTTCGAATGCTGGCAGTGCTACGTCTTCCCCATATCATAGATGGAAGTGCTGCTCTGAAATTCCCTGGGGCATGAATCCTGTCCTTGCTCCCCACCACCCCCTCCTGCCTTTCCATTCCTCTACTTTGGTGGGAAGCATTTGTCTCTGTTCACAAGCCCCTTCTCCCACTGTTTCTTTGCCAACAAAACACACTGAAAACAACCATCAGATGGGAACACATGCAGGAACTCAAGGTTAACCAGCAGCTGACATGGAAGGTATCTTTTCCTCAAATGAATCTGTTCAGAGCAAATGATCAAGATTAAGAAGTGACCAGACACAAAGCCCTTTTACCTGTGAAAGGGACTTGCCCTACAGCGACTAAGTGATCAGCCTTGCAGCCACATCTTTAACCAAGAGCTTGGATGCTGGAGTTGTTGCCCCTTCCCATTCGACAGTACTGCTTAGTACAGGTTTAAACACTTAAAAGGCAGCATACATCCCTGCAAAGAAGGTACAGTGCCCGCATTCTGAAGAGCTAGTGATTCCCATGTGCCTCATGAAGCATTTTGAGGTAGCCCGTCAACTAGGGAAATGATTACAAAGTCATTAGCGACAGCTTTATTGGGGTGGTATTTGGGTACACTGATGTTGGGCCAATGTTTGTACCTCTGGAGATGGTACAAAAACAAAACACGTTCAACACGCACAAAAAGGCCAGAGCGTAACACCAGTGTATAGATTTCCATAATACAAGTTAATGTAAAGACAAGGCCCCTGAGGCTGCTGGCCTACGTTTTGCACGGCGCCTTGGCATGCAGCAGGAATAATCTAATCACATTAATCACAGAAATGACAAAGCGCCATCCAAGTTCTGAAACCTCAGTGTATGCTTTGACATTTCTAAAAAAACAATTTTTATTCAATGTCACCTACCACTTTCCTTGAAATTATTAAAGAAATTAAGATGTAAGAATTCTCTGTTGGAGAAGCCAGAAATCAAGATGTAAGAATTCTCTAGCTTCTCCATTAAGTGCCAGCAAGAAAAAATACCTGGTGATACCTACAAGTAATTCCCCTGCCATATTTAATTAGGGGAATGCCAGTGGAAATGCACTGCTTTGGCCACGCTGCTGCAGCCAAGTTGCAGATGTCAGAACCTGTCCAAGCTCTCTGTAACTCCTGGCATCCTATTTTATCTTGACGCTTTAAAATAACATCAACTTGAAGGAGATACAGGTGGGGAACCAAGCATGAGAATGAGAAAATATTAGGAAGAACAACTCCAGCACGATGTAGCACCAGAATTATCGTGTAAAAACTGGTGTCAGCCTATTAAAGCTTCTCTGGGTTCAGGAAAAACAGAGCGGTGAGAGATGTGGCTTCAACCTCTTCCAAATGCCTGAGCCCTGAAGCACCTCATGCCCTCAAGCCCAGGGTGTTTTCCTGTGATCCTATGGATTTCAGCCAGTTTTAGACAAGGCTGAATTACCACAGATGTTCACTGCTGTACATGCATAGCCCCAACAGGCCAAGAGATAAGAAGCTATGAGCACCTTGGACAAGGAGGGAGAAACTGCAAAGCTTCTCAAGAACTGCAGCCCCATATGGGCTGCATGCCCATCAAAGAGAGCAAAGCACAGCAGGTAGGTGTTGCTTCTCCACCTGCTCAAATCTGCTTGGTTTTGCAACCACGCAATGAAATTTTCATAACTCCAGATGACAATAACACAACAGTGGGGTCAACAAAAGACATCACTGTGGGTAGTGTGAAAAACATACAGGTGACACAGCCACTGCTGATCAGAGACAATGCCTTACAGCCCCATGGATAGAAAAAACACCATCAATTGCCATGCATGTAGAGCATCATTCCTGAAGACAAGAAGAATGGCTTCAGCCTGCAGCCTCTTCAGGCTGCTGCCTGTGTGCCTGTCAAGCACGATGAGGTCTGAGGCTTGAGCACAACAGGGCAGCTACACAAGCATATCAGGCTCGTGCCCAGCAAACACCATGTCTGCAACCGTGCCACTGTCATCTTTTCCAGGATTTCTGCTCAAAGCACCCATGAGGAGGACTAACATGCAAGTAGCTTGTGGTGCATTCAGTGTAGCCTTTATTTCCAGTCTTACTTGGAGAAACTAGGTATTTCAAATGCAACCTTTGTCTAAAAGGAATGGAGGAGCAGGAGGGGGAAGGCAGATTTTAGGGGTCACAATATGTTAAGTCACTAAAAATAAAGGACATTTTAATTTTGGAGGAAACAGCATAGAAAATTAAATTGAAGGTATACTTTTCTTTAAGAATTACTTTAAAATGTATATATATATACCATATGTACAGCAAAAAGTATGCAAAAGAACTAAAACCTACTAATTCACTAATTTTACATAGGGTGCAAAGTCTGCACAATAAAAATACACACTAATAAACTCTTTTCTGCTAGAAAAATTAATACACGTGGATAAAAGAGCTGCAAGTCAAGCAAGCAGCAGGCTTCCTGGCCACTACCAGCTGCCTTTCCCACAGGTTTAGGTCACCGGAACAGGCCTTGGGAAATAAACAGTGTAACCATTAGACTACAACATCTTCAGCAGAAAAAAAATGGATGCCAATGATTGTGGCTATTCTGATTTTGGTAATTGATTGGGATTTTTTTTAATAAAAGACAGGTTTTTTTAATCCTTACAATGGCATATTTTATGAATGTAAAGGTTTGCAGAGTAGAGGGATTTTAAAACAGCGTGGGAATGCAACATGACCCGTGGGGCAGCATCGGGCTGATACCTGCAGCTCTTGCTTTACCTGCACTGCGCCTCGAAGTAAAGTTTTCCCTTCTCTTGCCTATGTTTTCCTTGCAGCCTCACTGAAAACCTAAGAGATGAAAGTGCTTAAAAGCCAAAATCTTAAAAGGGCCATGATAAGCAGCAGGCAAAGTGCTCTCAGTGAAATAATGCGCTTATCCAAACTGATAGTATGAGAAACTGCCTTTTAAGCCCCATCTTTAGACTGCGTACTTCAGATAAATAGATTATTTTGTTACGAGCTACTACAGGCTACAATATACTCACATAAATATATCAATGCCTAGACGTGAATATGAATTTTTATATATTGAGTACATACAAGAAACACGACAAAGAGCAGATTGCTGCCACGGCTGCATCTTTCAGGGTGGAGCCCACCACGCGTGTCCCCAAGACATGATTTTTGTCACCTTCAAGCAGTGCCATGTGGGAAACCTGGCCACAGGAAACCTTCCAGTCCCTTGTTAACGTGCTGCTCTGCTAGTCCTTTGCCAAGAAAGGCAGCTTCTTCACAGCAGGTGGGGGTCAGCTGGCAAAGCCTCCACGACACCTTATTCTCAAAGCAAGACCTTGAGGGATGGCACAAGCATCTGTGCCAACGGAAGGGAAAGCTAAGCACAAGAACTTGGTGTGGCCTTGAAAATCTTGTTTGTCAGGCTCAGCAACAGCATTCAGAGCGGACCTAAACTGCCGGAGAGCCACAGCAGGCACTGCCACCAGCTCAGGCTGTTCAGCAGCACTGCATACTACATCTCAGTGTCTCGCTTTGACGAGCTCAGAGGATCTGTACCACCACACCTGTCCAGGAGCTGGGTCAAGAATGTACAAGAGGTCCATATCTGACACGTGCACACAGGATACAACCTCTTCAAGATTCAGATTACAATGCTGAAGCACCCCCTGCCAGACCAGTGGCAGAAATATGCTCCTATTATTTACACAATATAAAGTGCATTAGGATTTTCTTATTGAACTGACAGACTTCTGTCTGGACCATACAATTTTGAAACAGAGTTGAGGACTTTAATAGGAATTCTCTCATGAGAAAAGAGGTTCAGATTGGTACTCTTCACCCTGTCCTCCTAGAATTGTTTTTGGCCGTTCTTTCTAGTGCAAATAAGCTTGTGTTTTCTCAAGTTTAAGGGACATGGCAGTTTTAGGGCACAGAGAATGAACATTTGAAATGCATGAGGAACACAGCATTCTCAAGCATTGCAACGGGCCCTTCTGCACACAAGCAGCTTACATTATTGCTGCTCTCAGAGGTTGAAAATGCACTGCCAAAAATAATGATGAACCCGTTTCCAAATCTAACTGGTACAATTTTGCATTGCTACATTTTGAGTTAGTCTGTTTTATCCTCCCATGACAATATTTGCAAGCACCAGTAGTCTTTATATTTCTGTGGAAACCTGTCGCTAGTGGTTTATCCATTGGTAGTCGGTTGTGAACTTGAAGATCCCATCCAGTTTTGGATACTAAGGTGCATCCCACACAGGGAGAGTACATGCATTAGTGAATCCTGTGGAACCAGCCCTGCCACACAGCCAGCACTGGATTCCTGGCTGCTATTTACAATACACTAATGCAATCAGAAGGCCAATTAATTAACTCAGGAAAAAGATTTAAAAAAAATAAATGGGTTAAACGCACAGAGATACCAGTCTTACTAAGATACAGCCAGCTGCATTTAGACACCCTTTTGTCAAAATGGCAAGTGAGTAGCAATAACAAAAGCCATTTTGCATCTCATCTCATCTTTTTTCTTTTTTTTTTTTTTTTTTAAGCAAAAGACAGGATTAATAAACAGGCCTTTTCAATCACTTTGCCCATTGCAAGTATTTTCCTTACTAACACCAAAGGAACAGAAGGAATGCGTGACCACTTACAACACACACCTAACCTAAGCAAATTCCAACGTGGCAGCTTTTACGATGCATTGACACAGACGTGGGACTGGAAGATGTCGAGTGCGTAGGGGAGGAGTGCCACACGGGAGCAGGAAGGCGAGCATAAAAGAGTTGTACATTCATAGCTCCAGTTGGTTAGGATCTGTGATAAGTTCATTGTAACTCCAGGCACTGTAAAGGGCAGCAGCAGCCAGCGACGTGCTGACTTGTGCATCCGGGACTTGCTTGCTAAACTCTTGTTTCACACCAACTGGGACAAGAAGTTATTGTGATTGTTTGCTAACCAAACCTGTTACAAACATTGCGACCAAAAGCCTAGAAGCAAAGATGAACCAGTACCCCATAATGCCTCTAGCTGATTCATTGTGGTCTGCTAGCAGTTCAAGTGGTGAAAATCTCTTACAGACTTGAAAAAGTACCTGAAAGAGCAATCTGTGCAGAAATGGATGGTTTTTGTGACACTAAGCCAAATGTTTGCTTGCTGTAACTGCTGTATGTAGTTTTATGTAAAGGGCAAATCACCTAAAACAGTGAAATTAACTTTCTTACTTTCTGTCACAACTGTGACATTTCCTAAAGATTCTTTGGTGATTTTGATGCAAGCTTTTTTTTTTTCTTTCCTCTTTTTCTTTTTTTTTTTTTCTTTTTTTTAAAGTTAAAACAGATTGACTGTTATTAGTACCCAAAGTAAAGCCCAGATTATCCTCTCAGTTCCCACCCCTGCCTCCCCAGCTTTCTTGCTACGGTTAATCATAACAGGCAATAGCTTTTGGATTTAGCGTGGCCATGCAGCGTGCAGGTGGGTCCAGACTAAGAGTGAAGATGAAAACCTTTCTGAACAGATTTAAAAAACAATGGAATGGTTGAGTTGGAAAACATCTGGTCCACGTGCACACTTGGCCACTCTGCAAAATACAATGCAAGTGATTATAAATATCTGACTAGTCACGCATCCTTCAAAAAAACCTTAGAGGTGGGAAATACATTCTTTAAAGTACCTGGAACTCAACCAAATTCCCAATGATTTCAGAAGGCTGAAAAAGTCCCTTGAATGATATGTATCCATTTGCTAAGAAATGACCAAGAATTTTCAAAGTCTTCAGACCTGCTAATTCTATGCATTTTCCCTCCCAGCAGAGAATTCTTCTGACAAGGACTGTAAGGTTCAGGCTGCAGAGCTGACAGTAGACTTTGCACAAAGCTAGAAATCAAATTGCTGGATTTCAGCTCCAGCTTCGACAGGGCGGGAAGGAGGTGATGGCAGGGCACTGGTCTTATGTTGTACTAATAACATCTGTAAAGTCAGCGTGACAGAAAATCTGATGCAGCCATGGCTTTGAAAATGCGTTACACATCAATAGGACAGAGATGCATTTTGATACGAATCAAATAGTGCACCAAACCCCCCAAAGATCTTCCTCACAGCAGGAGGAGAGAAGTGCCCAGGTGTTGTCCTCACGTGTGTAACATCGTGGCCGCATTCATTTCACAATTGGGAGGGAACTCTGGAACCTCAATCACAGCAGCCATCTGGCTCAGCACACCCGTTGCACAGCCTCCTGCCAGAACCCACAACACCCCGGCTACAAAAATAGCTTCTGAAATTTGGAGGAATGCATTAAAAAAATCATCAGCCCCGTGTGGGCAGAACACGGAGATGAAGAATGGATTATGACTTGTTGCCATGAATTTGGAAGGCTTAGCACTTGAGCACAGTTTCATATCCTGGGATACTCAGGTTATTAGGTTAGCACAAAACTATGGGATTAATAACAAATCATCTGCTCTCCACTAGCACAGTATTAAAGGTCTGACTGGTTACTGAGATTTCTCCCACAAAGAACATCATTTCCAACTCAGTAACCAGCAGATACCAATTTTTAAACATCTCCCTCTCCTCATATATGTCTGAGCAATTAACATGAAGACAGTTTTTGCAGTAAGTGCCCTATGGCTCAGCTCTTCAGCCTTCTTACCGAGTACAGGCAGAGTTCAGTTCCAGAAAAACTGCCATAAGGAGAAACCGATACATTTCAGTGTGAGGGCTTTTTTTGTACCACGCTGAAGTGCAACACAAGCCTTATCTAGACTATTTAAAGGTCAGAATGCCGTCTTTTTTGTGCTGATACGCATAGTTTCATAGTCTTACACACTCAAAGAAGCTGACTCATACAGACTTGGGAGGTTGGTACTTTCTTAAGAAATACAGATATTTTGGGTGTAATATAGCATGATAACCAGACTCCCATAACATTATGTACTGACTACCAGAAAAGGACTTTACAAATAAAAAAAGAAAAAAAAAAAGGGGCAACTTCAAATTACTATAGATCAGTCCCTCTCACCAATATCTGCTTTTTGTTTTATTTTGCCAGACGGCCAGTTCAGTGCACTCTATTCGAGACCCTCTTGCTCTTCACCACTGTCCCCTCTGATATCCATCCTTTTTTCTTTATGGCTGTTGCAAATTCTCCTCATCTCTTCTTCATACTTGATAAAATTTTCCCCAAACCTTGTCCATGCTTTGTATGGAACTGTGATGGTGTTACGGTAGGGTGGTCTCACCTCACTTACCTTCAGAAAAATGCCATACCTGTTGGATCCCACATCAAAGTAGAACCTCTTGTTGTCCACCCGAAAGGAGGTGCCCTCAGGGAGCTCAGGGGGCTCATCTCCCCCACCCCTGCGATCCTCCATGTCCCCCTCGCCGTATTCTTCAATCAGCTGGACCAAAGCATCCCTGAACTCGATCATCCCTTGTGCCGGAAGGACAATAGTCTGCTCCTGTCCCAAGCTGTGGCCAAAATAACCAATCATGCCAGGTCCCCGGCTCATCGTCTGCCTGATCCGCAAGAAGCGGCCCCGCTGATTCTCCTTCAGGTCAAGGTAATATTTTCTGTTGTCCCTCTCGATGTACTCTGTTTTGAGGACGCTGTGAGGGTGCTCTTCAGAGCCCACAGAGCCCGAGGGTGAGGGCGGCGGGTGCTGCTGGCGCTGCCTCGAGTGCTGCTCCTTGCCATTGCTGTGCTCATGCCTGTGGCCACTTTTCAGGCCCAGGTGGGCGTAGTGCTCAATGAAATCGCCCAGGCAGTCCTTCAGCTCGGCGGCCACGGACAGGGAGAGTGTCAGCTTGCTTTTCCTGATGTTGTCCTGCCTGCCTCTCCCAATCCAGACCTCTGCGATCTTCAGGAATCGGCCCCGGGAGCTCTGCTTCACATCCAGATAAAATCGCTTCTTCTGGATGTCCACCCTCTTGGAGGCCAGCTCCTGGATCTCCATGCAGCCCCCCTGAGAGGGGGCCGTGTAATGGTACTGCTGCTGGGACTGGGAATAGATGCTCCTGTGCAGGCCGGAGCCTCCCACGTTCCTTCCTCCTCCGCCTCCTCCTCCTCCTCTCCCTCTTTCCATCTTTACCAATCAGCTGGAAATAACACATAACAGAGACGCAGATGACAACATCAGCACCAGGGGCCTGTTCTGCTTCCTGGCGGCGGCTCTGCTCGCTGCTGCTCCCCCTACCCACGCTGCTGCCTGCATCCCAGCTCCCCGCTGCCAGCCGCCCCCGTCGAAGCTCCGTTCCCCACCCTGGCAGCCACGTGTCCCCTGAACCCCGTTCTCAGCAGCCAGTGCTCCCGGCTCTGCGTCCTTAGGTTCTGCCTCCTCGCACCTCTCGTGACCTTTTTGCCTCAGTATTGATGATCGCCCACCGGGGCCCCCGGTGCCACAGACCTCCCTGCGTCTCCAGCCCACCCGTGGTGGCCACCCCATGCCGTTTCCCTCCCAACCCCACGCATCCCGACCCCTTCACCCACCCCAACGGACGCCGAGCCCCCCCTCCCCCGGGTGCTCCTACCCCTTTCCCCCTGTGGGTGCTGCCGCTGGCACTGCCCTCAGCGCTGCCCCCAGCATCCTGGCCGCCGGTGGCCCCCGGCACGGCTCCTCTGCCCCCCCGGCACCGCATCTCCTCCTCGGTGCCCCCAGTGGCGCTTCCTGGCGCCCCCGTAGGTCCGCCCGCGCCCCGCAGCGCTCCCCAGCATCGCATCCCCGCAGCATTGCTCCCCAGTGCCCCCACAAGGGCCCCCGTGCGCCCCCGGCTGAGTCTCCCGGCACCCCTCAGCACCGCATCTCTCCCGCCGTGCCCCCAGCACCGCTCGCCGGAGCCCCTCCTGCTCTCTCCGCGCCGCGCCTCCCCCGCCGCTGCCCCCAACTCACCCCATAGCACCCATCGCCGTCGTTGCCCTTCACCCGCCGCCGCCGCCACCGCCCGCAGCCGGCGGCCCCGCCGCCCCCCGCCGCGCAGAGCCCCGGGCTAGCGCACCCCCGCCGCTCCGCTCCGCTCCGCTCCGCCCCGCCGGCCCGGCCCGGCCCCGCCC